ACAGGGTGTTCAAACTCATAGTTTCTATGAGTCTGGACTGCGGGCCTCTTTGGTCTGGTGGCAAAATTTGTTTATTTACAGCGGCGTGCATTTTGGCATTATGCGTTTGCAATCGTTGAACGAATGTCATTGCATTTTCGCCGGGAAGTTGACGAAGTCTTTGGAGATCTTGAATTAATGAAGTCAAGTCTCTGGAATCGCCAAAGTGGGTATCTAAAAGATGTCTAACTTCTTCCCAAGTAAGTGGGTTTCTCGAATTCACTAGCTCTGCAGCACGTCCACGTAATTTATTTTTTATGTGAAGTGTTACTAGTAGTCGTTGTTCGTCGACTGCCATTCTGTAAGCGGTATTACAGGCTTGTAAGAAGGTGGTTAAAAATATTGGATTGCCATCATATTTCGGTATGATGGAAAATATTTCATTGAGTCTGTATGGCTCAATTTCTGCAGGTGGTCGTGGTGGTGCCACGTTTACGTTATCGTCATTCATTGCAATTGGTTTTTGTTGAAATGTGACAAAAAAAAGAGGGGAAACAATTGGATAATGGAACAGTTACTTGGTTGTTTCAAATTTGAAATGCGGTACGATTCAATATAGTACTTACAGGATCAGTATCATTGAGTTCGTCGTGTTCTCGTCGATTCTGCCAGGGGCTTCACCAGGTGTTCCTTCCACAGCTCTTCGAGTCATGACTCCCTCAGGTTGGTTCTTTGATTTCGGCAAAGGATTGGGATCCACCGTCACTAGTTAGGTCGTTTCCGTGTTCTAGCAACGTCACGAAATCCGTACGACTGCGCCAATTTGTTATCTCGTGGTTTTCGAAATAGACTTTTTAAAAACAATTTTATTTATTCCGGCATAGATTAAGTTTATACAATGAGCTTTATTTCAAGACTGACTTTTTGATACAATATAAAATGAATTTATATTAAAAATAATGCTGATGCCAGCGTCAGCAGATATTATATTCCATTTCTGCGGATGCTGACTTCAAGGTCAAGATCATGTTCTGAGGAATTGTTATCGCTGGTAAGTTGATACTACTGAGAACAATGGGAACTGATTTTAGCATATAACATGTAATTCATATCAGTTGCCTAATCCACAACAAGAAGTGTAAGTGACTGCCTCCAATATTCAAACTGTCAGACGTCTTCCTTGTACAGTATATATTTCATTGCAGCAGATATCATCTCGTATGCAATGAAATGTCCTCATCACAACATTCACGCTGACCAAATACAGGGTAGTGCACTCACATCTAGGGAGTGTACGTTACAATAATTGGAAAATCATTCTGCTGTTCATTCAGATTTGTTACTTACACTACCATTGATAATCTGATCATCTAAGAGAATCTGGTGGAAATGTGGAGTTTAACATGAAATATCACGAAATCTACGACAGCATACATGCACCATATATATATGCGAA